GGCCACGGCGCCCAGGGGAGGGGCCGGAGGGGGGGCCCTGGGAAGAGGCGCCCCTCAAGAGTAGCTGCGCTCGAGGCTTGAGCCTGGCAGCGCGGCGTTCTCGACTCCTCGCTTATCCCACGCTTCCTTTCCTCATCTTCCTCCTTCTCTTCCTCCACCCCTCATCCCCATCCTCTATGTCATCGTTCTCCTTCTCCTTGTCACCTTCGTGGTCGTGCTCATCGGCAATATCACGCTCCCCATCCCCAACATCATCATCATCATCATCATCATCATCATCATCATCTGCGTCAGCGTCATCACCATCACCCTCATCATTTTCATCACAATCATTATCATGATGGTCGCCATGATCAACGGGAACTCCTGGGACGCCCTCTGCGAGGCGTCACGGCAGCATGCGCGAGGGCGACGGGCCGAGAGCACGGCTGGCATGCAAATCACACGGAGACTTCCTGGACAAAAGGCTGCATTAGGAGAACGCTGCGTCACGCACTAGCCGGCCGCTCGGGGCTGATCGAGAACTTGTGTACATATGCTGCGCCCTGGTGTCCCGCTCCCCGCCTCTCCCATTCTCCCCCCACCCTCCTCCCTCCACCTCTTCCCTGCCTCTTTCTCCTCCCTGCTCAAACCCCCGCCCCCCGAATCCTGCCCTCGAATCCTACTCCCCGTCCCCTTCCCCTGGACGTTTCCGCGCTCTCCCCCCGAAACTGCGTTCCCATGTGGAAGCCTCTTGGAGGGGGTGCGGATGCCCGATTTAGTGACGGAACGGCTCGACTTTGCGTGAAAACGGGAACCGTCGCCAGTCCCCGCGCCCTGATATTTTTTTGAGTGCTCCTCGAAACCCTACGAGCCCTGAGCGCTCCCCAGGACCTCCGTACAGCTCCTTTTCCCCCAACGCCTTCTCCTCGTCCCTATTCGGGTCGGGCGATGTTTTTACTCTCCGCGAAACATCAAATGACTTGCTACGTCTTTGCCTCCGACTTGCGGCTTGCACGTCGGAGGGGCGAACAGCGGCCGACGCGCCACTCGCCAGCAGGCCATGCTTCAGCGGAGGACAGAAAGAAGGAAGTGAGCCCTCTTACTCCTGCTCCTGCGCGTCGTCTTCTCTCCTCTTGTCACTATCGCCAAAGAAACAGCGAGCATGGAGACGCTGCTTGTGAAATCGGCATGAAGCACGTATCAAGGAGCCCGCACGTGAAAATCTGGAAAAAACTGATTGAGACTAACTAGGATCGGCCCTCGTGGTACTGTGCACCACAAAACCTTGCCCCTCCGAGCCCGCGGGGCGCACGCTGACAACCTGGTGGCGCGGCCAGCGCGCACCCCTGACAGTCGGCTCAAGGGGGAAAAGCAGGAGGCAAACTGGCGGGTCCTGATAGTCCGCCGACCCCTTGTGGGTCTCCAAGCATGTGAGATTGTTCCCCCCCCCATAATTCCCCCCCCAGGGACCCCAAACCGGGAATTTGACCCCCCCCCCTCGCCCGGGACGACCCCGGACCGAACTCACCCGGGGCGGTCTGGGCTCCCTGGGATCGCTCTTGAGCTGCACGACAGCACTTGACGCCTCCCAAGAAGCCGCCAAGACGGTCCACGAGAACCCAAAGTCGCCGAATGATCGTTCCAAGACGCCCAATATGAACTCAAAACGGCCCAAGAGGCCGCCAAGACACCCCACGAAGCCTCCGGGAGGCCTCCCAAGAAGCCCCCAAGAAACCACAGTCTTCAAATTCCCTTGGGAGAACGTGCGTTGTCAGCATATCCAACTTGTTAGCCTTCACGGCGTTGAAAACCGTCCACGAGGCCCGCGCGAGGCCACCAGGACCACCCCAAGACGGCTCACGAGGCCCCCAGGAGGCCCCAAAGACAACCCAAAAGACTCCAACGTGGCCCAAGAGGCGCCCTAGACGGCCCAAGAGAGCACCAAGACTGCCCCAAGAGAGGGACCACGAACCGCGAATTCCAGCGCTCCGCCCAACGAAGCTCTCCAGAGGACCCAAGAGGCCCCCAAGCGGCCCCAAGAGGCCCCCATGAGGCACCCAAGAGGCACCCAAGGAGTCCCCAAAAGGTCCAAAAGAAGCTCCAAAACGGCTCCCAAAACCCTTCGAAACTGCCTCGAAGAGGCCCACGAGAGTCCTCGCCACGAGATCCCGACGGACATCCCAACGGGAGCCCACCGGGGTGCCGCCAAGGAACGGATCGGGACGAAGCGTGGGTCCCGGAAAATACGATAACAACAGCGAGGCAAAAGGAAAGATGTCGAGCGCCGTGTGATAATTCGGACAAGCCTCGTGGAATGCAGTCCTGGAGGCGCAGTAGTTTATAGAGGGGTCGGCGGATGTGGCGTAACCCTATAGAATAATATAGCATGGCGTCGCATTCTTTTCATCGTCTTCTCCTCTTCTAACCAGGCTCCCTCGTCCTTCGGCCGCGCCTTCCTCATCGCAGACCCCCGTCCCTTCATCCATCGCCATTCCCGTCCTATGCCCCTCACCTCCCAACCAGGAACTCGAGCGCCTTTGCATTTAGGGTGCGATGTGCAAGGGTATCTGGCCCAAGTATCCAGGACAGGGTAGGCCTCGGCGGGGGTAGTTTCCCACGTGCCCTAAGGTCCTTTCGTGGTGGCGGGGGGTAGTTCCCCCGCGTAGTTTTCCCACGTCGGTTCCCACGTACTTCCCCGCGTAGTTTCGCTCGAGAGGCACGTATTTTTTGACCTCCCCACGTGCTTTCCCGCGTAGTTATCGGACACATCGCCCCACGTAGTTCCCCACGTAGTTTGCTGGTGCCGAGAGTACTTTGCCACGGCAACCTTCCTATTTTCGAAGTCTGGAACGTATTTTCGGAGCCGAGGAGCTCCACTGTCGGCCTGGGGAGGAGTCGGAGAGGCGGGGGGATGAGCACGAGGGGTCAGGGGGGGGGGGGGGGGGCATATTGAGATAGGGCAGGGAGGGGGGGATCAGACTGCAGACTTCTGGTCCAGAATCGCTCTTCCAAGAACCACAACTTCCAAGCAGGGTCGGCCCTGGGAGGGGGGCGGGAGACGCGTGCGTGTATACGTGTGCTTTCTGTTCGCCTTCCCTTGGTGTTGACTGGTTCCATAAATGATAAGCCACTGTGTTTGGGCGTCGGACGGGCCGTTTGAAGCAAGTTGTCACCAAAAAAGGCAGGGTAGAAATCGGGGGGCTCTGACTTCAAATCGCCCCTGTCACCCGCCTCCCCCCATTCGTTTTGAACAATAGCGTCGGGGGCGCATGTGTCGTCGATTGGCGGGCAGCGATGCGAGCGTGTCGTTTGGGGGGCTACCGAGGAGGGGGCTTGTTTGATCGCGCTGGGCGCTCAGGGGCTTACGTTGACCGGATTGGAGCCGCCAGGGGTCGCCTTGGCCCCGCCTGAGTCGGGCGCATTGCTGCGAGCTTCTCAGGGTCGTACTTTCAGTACTGTAGCCATTTGGGCTGTCCAGGTGTCCAGCTTCTTGCGCAGCCTCGATCAGAGCGGCGCTCACCCTGGTCAAGCGCGCCCAGGAGGATCAGGCCCAGGAGCCCGCGAAGAAAAAGGTTTTCGTCAAGGGCAAGTGCACCAAATGTAACAAGGTTTGGAAGAAGGAGGACGGCCAGGGTCCCATCGACAGAATTTGTCCCACATCAGTTTCTTCTTTTCCTTCCTGCATGTCCTGCAGATGCAAACAGCAAACAGGATCACCCAAACCACCCCTTTTGGGTGATCCTGTTGGGGTGCGCAGCGGGCGGGCGGGCGGTCGCGACCGCTGGCGCCGATCAGTTCCGCCCGCCCGCCCAGCTGTCGCCCCCGCCTGGGTCAGCGGGAACCCAGCGACCACGAGGGGCCCCAGGGGCTCTCGGAGATGACCAAACATCCCAGCCGACACTTGGACAATCAATCCCGACACTTGTGCTAAAAAAACCCAGCCCGCCACCCGCGACGGCCACCTCCAATTCGGGGGGGGGGGGGAGGGGGGGGCCAGGTGAGGGGGGGCGATGTTTTTACAGCGTGCATCGGCTTGCCCAGAGGAAGATCCCGACCACGACCAGTGGTTCGAGTATGCAGTCGTGAAGGGCGAGACGGTCGGCGTCGGCTACGCGTGCATGCGCCACGGAGCGGTATGGCACGAGTGCTTCTCGCTGGAGGGTAGCGCCAATGATGTGCTGAAGAGGGCCAGGAACGACGCAGAGTTTGGCAACCTTTTCGGCAATTGCGAGAAGGCGATGCAATGCTCAACGAGCATGCCATCCTCCTTGTCCGAAGTTGTTTGCACCGAGGGGCTGATGTTGCGGGTTATCAAGCCGCGCGCTGGATGCACCAGGCAGGGCTTCACCAACGCCAAGAAGGTCACCCCTGAGGCATGCGGCATGCAGACCCAGCTGCTCCCGGAGATCAGCGGTGCGAACTACAGAGGGCACCTACTGCTAGGTGCAGATGAGGAGAACTCCACCAAGTATGAGCTAGTCAGGAAAATCAAGATCGACAAATCGACGTTCGACCTGAAGCTTGGTTCTTGCTACCATGAGGATCTTACAGATATGGCGTTCAATGCCCTTCTCAAGCAGACCGAGGCCAACAGCCCCGTCTGGGCCAAGATTACGACCGCGACCTGCGCGCAGGAGCAGATTGCCCAGAAGGCCATCTGATCTTGGGCCCGTCTGCGAGTTGTCGAGGAAAGGGGGGGGGTCGGGCGAGCTGAAGTCGGGGGGTATAGGGGAAGGAGGATGAGGAGGGGGAGGATGACGACGCATTGGGCGATGCCGATTCTAATGTGTCAGTCTTGCTGCCCGCGGGCTCAGCAGCTTGGACGTTCGCCGACCTCGGGTAAATCATCGGGCTCTGGTGCTGCGTCCTCTGGAGGCACGGGTGGGCCCTCAGGCGCAAGTTCGGTCGACGGCGAGGGGCTGGAGGGCGGGAGTGGTTCGCGCCTCAGCCGCGGGTCGAGCAGGTCCGACATCGCAGTGAAGCTTGAGAATGGCCTGCGCCCCGCGCGCGACTCCGCCATGCAGCAGCTTCAGGATGATGATGATGATGCCGGGGGCATCCTCTTGTCTCAAGAGGACGGACTTGATGACTTGACGGCGCCAAAGAACCAGACTATAACCAAGGGCTCGGCTACGCCTGCCCAGACTAGCTTGAACACCAGGGGCGTGCCTGCGAGGAGCAGGGGCGAGAAGACTCAGCTCGCCGATGGGGGCTTCGAGTCTCCGATGGACATCGTGAAGCGGAAGCAGGAAGCCGCGCCCGTTGCAGAGGCCCTCTTGGGCAGAAATCTGAACCGCCAGCTCCGCTGGGCAACGGTCGACAGGGGCAACCTCGCCAGAGACCAGCGCAAAGCCGCGTCGAACGAGCTTTCTACTCACATCAATGCTGTCGAAGCTGCCTTTTGGATTGGGACTTCCGACCTGGAGACCGAGGAGATGACCGACGTCGTCGATAGGCTAGACAGGCTAGGCGCCTACATGTACCAGTTGCCCATCGGGAAGCAGCGGCACCTGAGGGAGAGGAGGATCTGCACGGTGGTAGCAGCAGTTGTCCAGGGCAAGCACGCGGATGAGTTCTTCGACGTGGTCAGGCCGTGGTCCGTCGAGGGCGAGGAGGCGGATTCGTCGCCGTTCGACCCGAGGAACCCCTTGCTTCGAAAGCTGGAGGTCAAGCCCAGCTCTGGCGTCGAGCTTTTCGAGGGCGCGGTCTGCGTCGCTGTGACTGACGTTGTCAAACTTGGCGGGCCCGGCGAGCTGATCTTGGGCCGCTTCTGCCATGCCCTCGAAGAGTTATTTGGCAAGAAGGGGCCTGCCGGGGACCATGGGGAGTGCGACGCGTCGGCCGAGACCGTGAACAAGGTCTGCATGGCTATCAGCGCCTTGCTCTTCCCCGAGAAGGTACACCTCGCCAAATTCTTCAAGGAGGTGCGCGACAAGGCCCGCGAAAAGAACGCATCGACCGACGGGCCCTTGGCATATGCAGTCGTTGCCAAGCTGAAGGCGCACGCTTTCTGGAAGAATCGGGTACAGCAGTTCGCCCACTCCTACCGCAGCAGCGTCGACCTGATGTCAGAGATGGAAGCCGTCAGCGCGGACATCCAATACTTCAAGGAAGAGCGTGAGTGCATTGAGGATTTCGATCACATGAAGAAGATGTTCGACTTGGGCGAGAGGTTGCGTGACCATGCGGTGCCAGGGTCACGCGGTCCTTTCCTTGTGAAGCTCGGGGATTCCATGAGGGCCATCTCGACCAACCACGCTGCTCCTGGGGCCCCCTTCACTGCGAAGGTACAGGACCTGCTCCATCGCGCCAGCTCGGTGATCCCCAGCGTCGCGAACTGGGCCGACATGAGCAACGCCATAGAGAAACGGGAGAAGGAGCACTCGGTCAAGGACCAGGTGAGGGCTTTCATCAAGAGCGTCTCCGAGTTGCAGTCTAGCGTCGGCGAGTCGGCGAGCGTCGACATCCCGCTTGTGACGCAGATGTTTTTCGCAAGTACAGCGGGTGAGCACCGCCGACCGTGCCGCGAGTGCTGCAGTCAAAGCGGCCGCTGAGAAGGCGTTCGACGGCATGGTCGCGCTCAGAATCAAGGATGTCACCGACAAGACGCTTGGAATAGCGATTCCTTTGCTGGAGTTGCTCTCGGTGCCCGTGGGGGATGGCTCGGACAAGATCCCGTTGTTCAAATGCTTCGAGGCTGCATTGCAAGCCAGCAAGGCCCACTCCGACTGGCCCCAAGACTCCGCCCGAGACCGAGGGGGTCCACGCCGCGGGTGCCGACTTCGACAAGTTGAAAAGGTTTGTGTTCAGAGTGCAGTTTGCGCGCGACGCCTCTGACGCGCTCGGCGAGCAGACGGTCTCGGTCTTCTCTGATCTGATTTGCCAGTGGGCCGCCAAAGCACCGGTTGAAATAAGTTTTTTAAGCCGACTACCCTTGGTCGAAGGGGCTCACGGGGGGGTGTGGGAGGGTTTCGTGCCGTCGTCTTTCGGGGGGTGTAGCCTTAACAGCCCAAACCAATCAGAAGCTTGTGAATGCCCAAACGCTCGTTTCGAATTATTTGCTGTCCTCTTCGGCCTCATCATCCTTCTCTTCTCTTCCTCCTCCTCCTCCTCCTTGTCCCATTCTCCTTCCCACCCTCCTCCTTCTCCTCCTTCTCCTCCTCCTGCCCCTTTCTCCCCTCCTCCTTCCCTTTTCTCCTTCTCCTCCTTCTCACCCTCCTTTCCACCGTGCCCCCCCCCCCCCGCGCCCAGGCTGACAGGTGACGCGGGCGTAGCGCCCGTTGCGGGTGGGCGCACTTAATCCCCGCTCCCCCCACCTACTCGGTCGGCCTTCAGCCAGCCCCAGAGGGGCGGGGGAAGGAGGAGAAGGATGAGGAGGTGGAGCATGGGGGCGAGAGAGGAGGAGGAGACGGAGGAGCACGGGAAAGGTGGAAGCAGGGGGGAGGAAGAGGTGGGCGAGCAAGGGGAGGAGGAGCAGGAAGAGAGGCAGGAGGGGGCGAACGAGGACGCGGGCGAGGAGGAGGGCGAGCAGGAGCAGGAGGAGCCCGCCCCGAGGATTGACGAGGTCAAGCTCGAAAGAATGTCCAAGGGGCGCGAGGCCCTGGACGCCGCCCTGGGGCTGCTGGAGGAGGTTGCGGCGGGAGGGAAGGGCGGGGCCTCTTGGTTTGACAGAGCGAAGACATACAAGAGCTTTGGCGAACTTCTGAAGCTCGCCCAGAAAACTTTGATGAATGCGGACGGCGAGATGATCAAACAACGTCGTGACACTGCCCTCGCCCTTGCGCGGTCTTTCTTCAAGTGTTACTCCGATATGTTTGGAGAGCCCCTGTCTGATGGCATCGGGAAGCGCGTCGATCACGTGGTCTTGCTGGCCACGGGTTCCGAGATCACAACCATCATTGTCGGCCTGCGCTGCAACCGCGAGTCGGAACCCGTCAAACTGAAACAGCAGATGCGCAAGCAAGTGAAGGCGATTCTGTCAAACACGGGCGTGCACAAGCACATGCCCGCGAAATTGGCCAGCCACGTTTTTGATCTGGCGGGGGGACAAGTGCCCGCCGAGGACTCTGCTTAGTAGGTAGCTACACACGCGCCTCAGATGCACCAGACTCTCTCTTGTTTGGTTGGTCGACGCGCCCCAAGCTGCATCCCAGGGGCCCCCTTCCTGCCCCCTCCACCTCGAGCCACTCAAACGTCCCAGAGTTTTCCTGCGTTGTCTCCAGCAGCATTGGGCCGTCGGTTGATTCGCAAGGGGCCGCCGCGGGTTGGCCGCTCGATTCACTCGAGGTGCGAGTTCGAGGCGAGTCCATCGGGCGAGCGAGCCCGACACGGACCGAACGACTGAGACAGTGAGAGAGCGAGGAAACATTGTCACACCTTTGTAGCCGTCGTCGTTGGGCCCATCGCAAACGCAGCACGCCCGCGCACCGTGGCCCGTGCATTGCTCTTCGCTTCCTGCGACGGTGATGGCGACGAAGATGTTGGTGGCGGCTTGCATGGTTCTCCCGTGTCTGGCGCATCGTGCTTCCCCTCGTCGGTCTTCGTTCGCATCCTCATGATCCCCAGGCTCCTCAGCATTATCCTCCGTCTCGTCATCCTCGGCTGCTGCGCATTAGCTTCGTATTATTCCACCCTCTCCTCTTCCTCCTCCGATTGCTGATCCTGGTCGTCCCTCCCTTTCCTGGCGTTCCACGTCTCTGTGCTCTCTCGCCGCCGCGCTGGACGAGGCTCGAACTACTTGTGCGACGCGGGCCTGGGCCTTGAATGGGCCCTGGCGCGTCGATGCGGGCCCTCCTCCGCCCTTTGGGTCTCTCCTTACCCGTCGTCCGTCGGGTCGTCGCTGCACTGGGTTCGCTTCGAAACCCTTGGAGGCGTTAGCTTGGGCCTCTCAAGAGGGCTCTGGCGGGCCTCTGCGTTGTCGGCCCGAACGTCGTCCTCGTCATCATCACCACCACTGCCAATATCAGTGTCAGTGGCAGCATCAACATGAACAGAAACCGTTGCCCCAGCAAGACAAATCACGTGTAGCTCAGCGTTAATCTTGCAGTTCGCCAGCATGCAATCGTGGCGCATCATCCACGGCGGGCGGTCTGCGCGATCCTAGCGGCATGCATTGCCACGTGCTTCGACACGTAATTGGTCTGGTGCCACGCCAGAAGGCAGCGCGCGTAGTCTGAACGTAGTTCCTTCCTCCTTTTCTCAAGATCTGGCCTCTTGGCGGACAACGAAGTCACAAGTATGGTTCCGTCTGGAGCGTATCTGACCCACCAACAGGGCTCCAGGAGACTACGCGTGAACCCCGTTGTCTTGAGGTAGCCTACGGTCGTCTTACGCCAGGCCAGGGGGGGCGTCGTCTAACCCGTAGACGTTCACCAGCAATCTGATGAGAGACCCCTTTTCAACCTTGATGCCCTCGCATGGTTCCACGTCGATCTCTCCCTGAGCACGGCTCATAGGATCCGATTGGCAGAAGGCATTCTTCACGTCAGCAATGTCACCTAGGTGACCTATAGATTCATCATTGCCTGGATGAACATGAGAATGGAGGAAGTCTGGGGAGTGGGAGAGTAAACAAACAGCGTTCCGGTGTCCGGATCCTTGTGTCCGTGGACACACCACCGAGACCTGTCGCCTCCGCCTGGGTCAGCGGGAACCCAGCGACCACGAGGGGCCCCAGGGGCTCTCGGAGATGACCAAACATCCCAGCCGACACTTGGACCAACAATCCCAGCCGACACTTGTGCCAAAAATCCCAGCCCGCCTCCCGCGACGGCCACCTCCAATTAGGGGGGGGGGGCAGGGGGGAAGTCAGGGGAGGGGGCGATGTTTTTACAGCGTGCATCGGCTTGCCCAGAGGAAGATCCCGACCACGACCAGTGGTTCGAGTATGCAGTCGTGAAGGGCGAGAAGGTCGGCGTCGGCTGCGCGTGCATGCGCCACGGGGCGATATGGCAGGAGCGCTTCTCACTGGAGGGTAGCGCCAATGATGTGCTGAAGAGGGCCAGGAACGGCGCAGAGTTTGGCAACCTTTTCGACAATTACGAGAAGGCGATGCAAGGCTCAATGAGCATGCCATCCTCCTTGTCCGAAGTTGTTTGCAACGAGTGGCTGATGTTGCGGGTTATCAAGCCGCGCACTGGATGCACCAGGCAGGGCTTCATCAACGCCAAGAAGGTCACCCCTGAGGCATGCGGCATGCAGACCCAGCTGCTCCCGAAGATCAGCGGTGAGAACTACAGAAGGTACCTGCTGCTAGATGCAGATGAGGAGAACTCCACCAAGTATGAGCTAGTCAGGGAAATCAAGATCGACAAATCGACGTTCCACCTGAAGCTTGATTCTTGCTACCATGAGGATCTTCCAGACATGGTGTTCAATGCCCTTCTCAAGCAGACCGAGGCCAACAGCCCCGTCTGGGCCAAGATTAGGACCACGACCTGCACGCAGGAGCAGATTGTCCAGAAGGCCATCTGATGATGATGATGCCGGGGGCATCCTCTTGTCTCAAGAGGACGGACTTGATGGCTTGACGACGCCAAAGAACCAGACTGTAACCAAGGGCTCGGCTACGCCTGCCCAGACTAGCTTGAACACCAGGGGCGTGCCTGCGAGGAGCAGGGGCGAGAAAACTCAGCTCGCCGATGGGGGCTTCGAGTCTCCGATGGACATCGTGAAGCGGAAGAAGGAAGCCACGCCCGTTGCAGAGGCCCTCTTGGGCAGAAATCTGAACCGCCAGCTCCGCCGGGCACGGGTCGACGGGGGCAACCTCGCCAGAGACCAGCACAAAGACGCGTCGAACGAGCTTTCTACTCACATCAATGCTGTCGAAGCTGCCTTTTGGTCTGGGACTTCCGACCTGAAGACCGAAGAGATGACCGACGTCGTCGATGGGCTAGACAGGCTGGGCGCCTACATGCACCAGTTGCCCATCGGGAAGCAGCGGCACCTGATGGAGAGGAGGATCTGCACGGTGGTAGCATCAGTTGTCCAGGGCAAGCACGCGGATGAATTCTTCGACGTGGTCAGGCCGCGGTCCGTCGAGGGCGAGGAGGCGGATTCGTCGCCGTTCGACCCGGAGAACCCCTTGCATCGAAAGCTGGAGGTCAAGCCCAGCTCTGGCGTCGAGCTTTTCGACGGCGCAGTCTGCGTCGCTGTGACTGATGTTGTCAGACTTGGCGGGCCTGGCGAGCTGATCTCGGGCCGCCTCTGCCATGCCCTCGAGGAGTTATTTGGCAAAAGTGGGCCTGCAGGGGACCATGCGGAGTGCGACGCGTCGGCCGAGACCGTGAACAAGGTCTGCATGGCCATCAGCGCCTTGCTCTTCCCCGAGAAGGTACACCTCGCCAAGTTCTTCAAGGAGGTGAGCGACAAGGCCCACGAAAAGAACGCATCGACCGACGGGCCCTTGGCATATGCAGTCGTTGCCGAGCTGAAGGCGCACGCTTTCTGTTGAATCGGGCAACGCAGTTCGCCCACTCCTACCGCAACAGCGTCGAGCTGGTGTCAGAGATGGAAACCGTCATGGAGGATAGCGCGGACATCCAACACTTCAAGGAAGAGCTTGAGTGCATTGAGGATTTCGATCACATGAAGAAGATGTTCGACTTGGGCGAGAGGTTGCGTGACCATGCGGTGCCAGGGTCATACGGTCCTTTTCTTGTGAAGCTCGGGGGTTCCATGAGGGTCATCTCGACCAACCGCGCTGCTCCTGGGGGCTCCTTCACTGCGAAGGTACAGGACCTGCTCCATCGCGCCAACTCGGTGATCCCCAGCGTCGTGAACTGGGCCGACATGAGCAACGCCATAGAGAAACGGGAGAAGGAGCACTCGGTCAAGGACCAGGTGAGGGCTTTCATCAAGAGCGTCTCCGAGTTGCAGTCTAGCGTCGGCGAGTCGGCGAGCGTCGGCATCCCGCTAGTGACGCAGATGTTTTTTCGCAAGTACAGCGGCTGAGCACCACCGACCAGGCCGCGAGTGCTGCAGTCAGAGCGGCCGCTGAGAAGGCGTTCGGCGCCATCGTCGCGCTCAGCATCAAGGATGTCACCGACAAGACGCTTGGAATAGCGATTCCTTTGCTGGAGTTGCTCTGGGTGCCCATGGGGGATGGCTCGGACAAGATCCCGCTGTTCAAATGCTTCGAGGCTGTATTGCAAGCCAGCGGGGCCCACTCCGACTGGCTCCAGACTCCGCCCGAGACCGAGGGGGTCCACGCCGCGGATGTCGACTTCGACAAGTTGAAAAGATTTGTGTTCAGCGCGCAGTTTGCGCGCAAGGCCTCTGACGCGCTCGGCGAGCAGAAGGCCTCGGTCTTCTCTGATATGATTGACCAGTGGGCCGCCGGGACACAGGTTGAAATAAGTTTTTTAAGCTGACTGCCCTTGGTCGAAAGGGCTCACGGGGGGATGTGGGGGGGTTTCATGCCGTCGTCTTTCGGGGGGTGTAGCCTTAACAGCCCAAACCAATCAGGAGCTTGTGAATGCCCAAACGCTCGTTTCGAATTATTTGCTGTCCTCTTCGGCCTCATCGTCCTTCTCTTCCTCCTCCTCCTCGTTCTCCTCCTTGCCCCATTCTCCTTCCCCCCCTCCTCCTTCTCCTCCTTCTCCTCCTCCTGCCCCTTTCTCCCCTCCTCCTTCCTCTTTCTCCTTCTCCCCCTTCTCCTCCTCCTCCTTTCCTCCGTGCCCCCCCCCCTCCCACCGCGCCCAGGCTGACAAATAACGCGGGCGTGGCGCCTGTTACGGGTGGGCGCACTTAATCCCCACTCCCCCCACCTACTCGGTCGGCCTTCAGCCAGCCCCAGAGGGGCGGGAGAAGGAGGGGAAGGATGGGGATGTGGAGGGTGGGGGCGAGCGATGAGGAGGAGACGGAGGAGCATGAGAAAGGCGGGAGCAGGGGGGGAAGAGGTGGGCGAGCAAGGGGGGGAGGAGCAGGAGGAGAGGCAGGGGGAGACGAACGAGGACGTGGGCGAGGAGGAGGACGAGCAGGAACAGGAGGGGGCCCGCCCCGAGGATTGACGAGGTCAAGCTCGAGAGAATGTCCAAGGGGCGTGAGGCCCTGGACGCCGCCCTGGGGCTGCTGGAGGAGGTCGCGGCGGGAGGGGAGGGCGGGGCCTCTTGGTTTGGCAGGGCGAAGAAATACAAGAGCTTTGGCGAACTGCTGAAGCTCGCCCAGAAAACTTGGATGACTGCGGACGGCGAGATGATCAAACAACGTCGTGACACTGTCCTCGCCCGCGCACAGTCGTTCAAGTGTTACTCCGATATGTTTGGAGAGCCCCTGTCTGGTGACCTCGGGAAGCGCGTCGATCATTTGGTCTTGCTGGCCACGGGTTCCGAGATCACAGCCATCATTGCCGGCCTGCGCTGCAAACGCGAGTCGGAACCCGTCAGACTGAAACAACAGATGCGCAAGCACGTGAAGGCGATTCTGTCAAACACGGGCGTGCACAAGCACATGCCCGCGAAATTGGTCAGCCACGTTTTTTGATCTGGCGGGGGAACAAGTGCCCGCCGACGACTCTGCTTAGTAGGTCGCTACACACGCGCCTCATATGCACCAGACTCTTTCTTGTTTGGTTGGCCGACGCGCCCCAAGCTGCATCCCAGGGGGCCCCTTCCTGCCCCCCTCCACCTCGAGCCGCTCAAACGTCCCAGAGTTTTCCTGCGTTGTCTCCAGCAGCATTGGGCCGTCGGTTGATTCGCAAGGGGCCGCCGCGGGTTGGCGGCTCGATTCGCTCGAGGTGCGTCTTCGAGGCGAGTCCATCGGGCGAGCGAGCCTGACACGGACCGAACGACTAAGACAGTGAGAGAGCCAGGAAACATTGCCACACCTTTGTAGCCCGCGTCGTTGGGCCCATCGCAAGCGCAGCGCGCCCGTGCACCGTGGCCCGTGCATTGCTCTTCGCTTCCTGCGACGGTGATGGCGACGAAAATGTTGGTGGCGGCTTGTCTGGTTCTCCCGTGTCCGGCGCATCGTGCTTCCCCTCGTCGGTCTTTTTTCGCATCCTCATGATCCCCAAGCTCCTCAGCATCACCCTCCGTCTCGTCATCCTCGGCTGCTGCGCATTAGCTTCGTATCATTCCACCCCTCCTCTTCCTCCTCCTCTTGCTGATCCTGGTCGCCCCTCCCTGTCCTGGTGTTCCGCGTCTCTGTGCTCTCTCGCCGCCGCGCTCGACAAGGCTCGAACTACTTGTGCGACGCGGGCCTGGGCCTTGAATGGGCCCTGGCGCGTCGATGCGGGCCCTCCTCCGCCCTTTGGATCTCTCCTTACCCGTCGTCCGTCGGGTCGTCGCTGCACTGGGTTCGCTTCGAAGTCCTTGGAGGCGTTTGCTTGGGCCTCTCAAGAAGGCTCTGGCGGGCTTCTGCGTTGTCGGCCCGGATGTCATCCTCGTCATCATCACCGCCACTGCCAATATCAGTGCCAGTGGCAGCATCAACATGAACTTAAATCGTTGCCCCAGCAGGAAAAATCACGTGTAGCTCAGCGTTCATCTTGCAGTTCGCCAGCATGCAATCGTGGCACATCATCCACGGCGGGCGGTCTGTGCGATCCCAGCGGCATGCTTTGCCACGTGCTTCGACACGTAGTTGGTCTGGTGCCACGCCAGAAGGCAGCGCACGTAGTCTGAACGTAGTTCCTCCTTTTCTCAAAATCTGGCCTCCTGGCAGACAACGAAATCACAAGAATGGTTCCGTCTGGAGCGTACCTGACCCACCAACAGGGCTCTAGGAGACTACGCGTGAACCCCTTTGTCTTGAGGTAGCCTACGGTCGTCTTACGCCAGGCCAGGGGGGGCGTCGTCTAACCCGTAGACGTTCGCCAGCAATCTGATGAGACACCCCTCTTCAACCTTGATGCCCTCGCATGGTTCCACGTAGATCTCTCCCTGAGCACGGCTCATAGGATCCGATTGACAGAAGGCATTCTTCACGTCAGCAATGTCACCTAGGTGACCTAGATTCATCATTACCTGGATGAACATGAGAATGGAGGAAGTCTGGGGAGTGGGAGAGTAGACAAACAGCGTTCCGGTGTCCGGATCCCTGTGTCCGTGGACACACCACCGAGACTTGGCGGTTGGTTCGGGAAACGTGCCCTCCACAGGTTTTCACCTTCGAACCATCCGGCTCGTGATGATGCGATCCTGTCGCTCTCGCCTAATCACCCCAGCTTCTCTAGGTGCAATGATCTCAACCGCGCCTGAGTTGGCCATATTCTGCCACTCGGTATCGTCTGACACTTCAAACTTGCTGCGCTCAGCGGGCGTCAGCTTGTTGAGACTGACCTCTCCTCCACGACTGGCCGCCAGAACCTCGAGATCGGCTTCGTGCCGTTCTTCAACCAAGAACACGCCCGCCTCCATGGTTTCGACCGCGAATGACACCCAGCCGTCAGGTCGGACCCTCGACTCGATCTCCTGGACCCTGCGCCCGACAAGGCCTGGCCCCCCGTCCTCGCCTCGCTCCTCGGCAGCAGCAGCAGCAGCACTGGCGCTCGGCCCCTCGCTCGCCGGGGAGGAGCTGCCGGGGGGCTCCAGTCCGGGAGGGGGCTCTATCCTCGCACGCATGACTTCGACTGTCTCGGGGGGGCAGCTCGCCGCTCGGGCCTCGGCCTGACGCTGACGAATGCAAGCAGGCACGTCACTGGGCTGAGGCAGCCTAGATCTCCCCGGCCTGCTGGCTCCACCAGAGGCGGCCTCGGCGACCGTGGGAACGGGCGCGGGGTTACCCAGAGGTCCAAAGATTCATTGTTTCAGAAACTTTTTCAGAAACTGCTGGTTTCAGAAACTTTTCGCTTTGCGTTTCTGAACATAATTTTCGCGTTTGCGCATGTTGTTGCTTGTTTAGTGGTTTGTGGTGTTGGGGTCATGGCTTGAACGTGTTGTGCGCGCGTTGAGGCTCGCCGCCAGCGGAACCGCTGGCTTAGTGGCCCTGAAGTAACCGCGCCGTGTTCAGCCCCATTGCTTTCGAAGCGCAAGCGCCGCGTAACTCGGTAAACTTTTAGCGCAAGGAGCGCGAGCGCACCGTACTTGGCGTGGGTTAGTGGCACTGGGGGCGAGGCCGCAATCGAATTTTCGACGTTTCGTGTCCACGCGAGCGCGGGCGCAGCGAATAAAATATTCATTGTTCGTCGGCGTCGTCGCCGTCGTCAACGTCGTCAACGTCGTGGTCGTGGTCGTCGTCGCCACTATGCCACCATCGTCGTCGTCGCTAACGTCGTCCTCGCTGTCGCCGTCGCCGTCGCCGTCGCCGTCGCCGTCGCCGTCGCCGTCGCCGTCGCCGCCGCCGCCGCCGCCGTCGCCGTCGTCGTCGTCGTCGTCGTCGTCGTCGTCGTCGTCGTCTGCGCAGCCGTCGTCGTCGTCGTCGTCGTCGTCGTCGTCGTCGTCGCCGTCGTCTGCGCAGCCGTCGTCGTCGGTGGCGTCGTCATCAACGTCGTCTTCGCCCGTCGTCGGTGTAGTCGTCGGCATGCGGCGGCGTCGGCGTCGGTGACGTCGTCCTCGTCGTCGTCGTCGGCGTCGTCGGCGTCGTCGGTGGCGTCGGCGGCGAGGGTGTCGTCGTCGCCGTCTTCGCAGTACTTGTCGTCGTCGCCAGCGTTGTCGGCGGCGTCGTCGCCGTCGGTGGCGGCGTCGGTGTTGGTGTCGTCGGCGGCTGCATCGTCGGCATCGTCGCCAGCGTTGTCTTCGACGACGTCGTTAGCAGAATCGTCGTCGTCGTTGGCGTTGGCGTCGACGTCGTCGTCGCAGTCGTCGCCGTCGTTCCCCCCGTCGTCTCGGACGGCGTCGTCGTCGCCGCCGCCGTAGTCGTGATCGTCGTTGTCGTCGTCGCGGCCGTTCTCGCATTTCACGGGCAGGTTTCGGGTAGCTTTCGAGTAGGTTTCGGGTAGGTTTCGGGCAGCTGCCTGGCATAGGCTGTTCGCTAACACGCGCGGGTGTTACGTCGTGACGCTTGCGGGCCCCCGCCAGCTCATCCAGAAACCGCGGGCCGAGTCGAGCCGAGCTATCGGGGCGGGCCCTCTCATCTCAGGCTGCACTGGGAGGAGGGTGATGATGCAGGAGGACGGGGAGGGGGGGGAGGGTGATGATGATGATGCGGAGGTAGAGGGCGTGATGGGAAGGATGAGGGTGGAGAATGATGGCCTATAGGGAGATATGGGGGAGGATGAGCAGGGGGATGGGGGAGGACGGGGGATCAGCAGCGCAGTAGCAGGGGGGTGGGATCAGCAGGGGCAGTAGCAGGGAGGATGTGGGAGGATGAACAGGGGTGGGGTCAGCAGCGGCAGTAGCAGGGGGATGGGGGAGGACGAGCAGGAATGTTTGCACTCGGCCGCCCTGAACCTGCACAGGCGAGGTTGCGCGGCCACCGAAGCCGAACTAGGGCGATGGCCGCCTGTGTGTTGAAAAACACACCATCCATCCGCCTGCACGTTGAAAACTCAAGGCGCGCCGCTGCTGCTGCTGCTGCTGCTACCGAGCACAGGGTTCCTGGGGATGGGCTTGGCGATCGTCTTGGTCAGCTTCTTGAACTTCGCCTGCTGCTCGGACTTCACGTCCGCCTCGCTGTCCGTGATGTGGGAGTCGGCCGATTCCACGTCGGCCGTGCGAATGAGCTCGCGCTCCAGATCGGTCTCGGGCGTCGCCTCTGGATGGAGCTTCACATCGAGCTTCACCTCGTCCTGCGTGTCGCCCGTCTCGCCGCCCGTCTCGAACTGCACCTCGTCCTGCGTGCCGCCCGTCTCGAGCTGTACGTCGTCCTGCTGCGCGTGACCCGTCTCGAGCTGCATCTCGCCCTGCGGCGTGTCGCCCTCGAGCTTCACCTCGTAGCGCTCCGCGTCGCCCGTCTCGAGCTTCACCTCGTCGCGCTGCGTGCCGCCCGCCTCGAGCTGCATGTCGTTCTCGCCCTGCGCGGAGCGGTCCACTTGCTCGAGCACCTGCTGGCTCGACAGCTCGTCGTCAGGTCCGCTCTCGCGGGGGTTGTCCGACTCCCACAGGCTGTCGTCGTGGTTGTCCACGTCGAAGTCGAAGTCGCCGTCGATGCCCAAGTGCCCAGTGTCTGGGTAGTGCGTCGCCTCCGCCGAACTCGGCGCGCGCGAGCCGCGCTGGTACTGCTGCTCGTACCGCTCCACGTCCTCAGGCGTAGCCCTGATGGCCCCGCGCTGCGCCCACATGATGCTTTCGTCGTGGAAATGCCTGGGGTTGTGCAGGATGTGCATCCGCATCACCTGGGGATCCACGCGTGCCGTCCCTGGCAGCAACGGTGGGTACTTGTACGCCATGTCCGCGACGGTGGGAAGGTGCCGCGCCCGCGCGCGGAGGCCCGCGCCGACTCCTCGGCGGGAAACGAGACCCGCGCCGACCCCTCGGCTGCCTCGAGCCAAAATGGTTATAAACGGAGGAGGATCTTGAGGGTTGAGGTCCTGAGGCTTCGGGGCATGGGGGCTTTGGAGATTTGGGGCTTCGGGCCCCGCTCATCCTGCATACCCCGTCCTC